ATTTTTTTTTTTATACAAACCAAAGGTAAAGTTATAAATCTTAAAACTGCCTGTATTACTTTTCTACAGGAAGTGAAACATTTTACGTTTTGCATGTATTAAGCACTTAAACGTACAGAAGGCACTTTTTGCAGTTTTTAGTTGCAGCACACAATTAGGAAAAAATAGTTATGAGCTCTTTAGGCCAAATTCTACTTGTCTCACCATATTTTCCCACAGACATTAGTGGAACTACTTGTGTAAAATGAAAATCACTTGGCCCTTATTTTTTTTTGTTTCAATTCAGCACAAATATGTACGGTTTATTTGCACTACAGAATTAGGGTCATTAGACGTTTCTGTCACCTGAGCCATTAACCAAGAATCTAGTACAAAACAAAAAAAAGGGGGGAAAAACCCACAGGTGTAGACAAAGGTGTATGTAAAAGTTTATAATGACTTGCCAACTTAAATGATTTTTTTTTTCTTTTTCTATGCTTAAATAACTTATTTTTACTGTAAACAGTATCGAATTTTACAATACTTTTGCCAGTGTTTGGATTAACAGAGCAAAGGTAAAGCAATGAAAGCATAACACCAAAAGTTGAAATACCAAACACCAGAAAACAGAGCAGTGTACTGTGCAGGGGATCAGAGATACATGCTGAAAAAGCCTATTGTCACCAGCTTTTAAAGCAATGTCAACTTTGTGAATATGTTTACTCCTTCTGCCAAAGTTTCTAGGTCAAATGGACCACGACCCTCCTCTGCAACAGATGTACAAAAGGAAGAATGAGACTTTGTAAACAAAAACAAAAAAAATAAACAAAAAGCTATCATGAACTAAGCAGCTGTACCAAGAGGACCAAAATGCTTCAGTAATTAAATGGAAGACTTTGCTACTTTTATTTTTTTCTTCAAATGTGAGTGACATAATGAAGTAGTTTTTCTAAACCATGGAAATATAAACTTTTGAGCTAATGACTAGTCTTGAGTGAATTTTACATTTTACGACAGAGGTTTCAAGTTGACATTTGTAACTGATGATATGTTGACCATAGTTGGGTTTTTTCCAGACTAAAGAATATGTTCATATACTTTTAATGTAAATGTGTTTATATTTATTTGAAATGAAACAAATGCCCAGGAAAAATAACTATGGCTTGTTCTCCTCGTTAGCATTTGTGCATACTATTTGGCGTTATGCAAAATGAAATGTGAATCTAGGCAAGACTGCTGGCCTGAGTAGAAAAAGGAAGGGCCAATGCACTTTGGGAGAGTGCTCACCTTCTTGTATGGAATGCCAAGATTAAGTCCACAGGCTAGATTGGTAAAACGCAGGAAGTAAAACACCTTCTCTCATTTAAGAGCATAAGACAGGGATTCAGCCCTATGCTAGACAAGTGAGAGAACGCTGCACAGCTACAATAGAGAGGGAAAAAGTAGTGTAGGATGGAGTCAAGGTGTTAAAAGTTCCCGTGATTCACACCCAGGCTGTCTGCAGGCCTGCAGCTGTGCTGGGAGGATGAGATGCTCTCAGTGCACACTTTTGGCAGGGTAAACAAAAAGTAAGGCTTGTTGTTCCACTGAATTGTTAAAAATCTGGTGGCAGATTCCAGTTCTTTAATCAGGAAATATATATTGAATTTATTTTGCCTTGCTAAAATTAAATTAACAAATTTCCAAAGGGACGAGGTCTCTAAAGGCAAATGTTTCTTTTCCCTCAACTTGTTATTTCCTGCAGTAGAATTACAGAGCACCCGAAACCCTGGTTTTCTCCTCAGAAATAGCACAGAATAACATTTTAATGATTGATATTTCTCAATGGTTTTGCTTTTAGAAGTTGCAGAATAGCAATAGCCACCTTGCTCTAAGCACTGAAAATGAGAGGAGAGATCAGTTGTTGAAGTTTTCAGTGGTGTCTGTTCAGAAATGAATAGAAATCCCAAATTTCCCTTTTTTTGTGTGGAATAATGGCATTGAAAACAAACAAACGGGAAATGGCTGCCACCTGTCTAACAGCAGGATAAGCCTTTTTAGCTTATTTTCACTGGAGATGTTGGTAGGCTCCTCGGCAGGATTAGTTCTAAGTCTCACGCTGAAATACAGAGTTATGCTATCCTACATGAAGTTGCTTCATTAGGAGAAAACCAGTCCTCTTTACAAAGAGGATGTTGTATTAATTTAAGCAGCCATCAAAAAAAAAAAAAAGTCAGTATTTTTACTTGCTACCATACAGAGTTACTGAAAATACTTCTCTATATATTTGCAATACCTCCTAACTCTGGTAATTGCATAGTGCAACAACTGCTGCCTCTTAGTGATGTACACAACGTCATAGAAGCATAGGTCATTACTCAATTACTTTTGATCCTTCCAGGAACCAATTCTTAACTTTACTGATTGAACTTAAACTAACAATAATGTAAGTATGCTATATTCCAAAAAATCATAGAAATGTACGATTTGTTAGTCTCTTAGGCACATTGCAGAAGTAATGTCTTGAGTGTGGTGTGTATCTAGGAGGAGAACTGTCACGAGCAAGACACTTGGAAGTAGTCAGTACTGGCCTATCCCACATCTCATGTGAGTTACCAGAACCCCCTTTTTTTGTATGCTAGCACATTAATCTGTAATATAATTTATCACATGTAGAAATAAATTTGTAATTTAGGGCAGGTATTTAAGCATGGGAAAAAACTTTACTCTTGTAAATAATCACCTTGCCTTTCTGTGGACTTTTTACAAGAGTAGTTAATCATATATAATTGTTGCACTTAACCCTGGATCCTGCAACTTACAGTACATGGACAATTTCTGTGTCTGCACCAAGCAAAGGTTGTTTGGGGAGGGGCAGCCGTCTGCCCGCCTGTATTGGCAGGATCATTCCATCCTGTACTTTAACCGCAGCTGCAGGTGGAAGCCACAGCAGGATGGGGTCCCAAGTCTCTCTCACAAATACTGAGTTTCAACCTCCGGACTGCCTGAAATTGCTGTGAAATAGCTCAGGGGATTTCTGTTCATCGCTACTAAAAGGGCACCATAATGTGTTTGGTACTTTTATGCAGTGAACAACTGCCAGATCATTGAATTAGAACAAACACATGAATTGTTTATCCATTGTACTGTTGAGAAACTTGGTTATGTATCTTGAGGATGATTTTAAAAAATTTGTGATTTTTATTCTTAGTCATGTAAGAAATATTAGAGTGCCTTTTTATATTTGTGTATTATGGAAATGTTTTGTGAAACTCGGGTTTGTTTTTTTTTCATTTGAGTGTTATAAAAGCAATATATTACCGGTAAATTTTCATTTCAGACCTTCTTTGAATGTATAAAGTGTTTCTTTTTTTCATATGTTCTACCTGCATTGAAATGAAAATTAATATGCTAAATTTCTATAGGAATAACGTATAATTTTTGCAGTGCTGAAAATGCTTTCTTATTACACAAAAAGTAAACCTTAGGTCAGTGTTATAGGAAAGGGCGTTTTAAACTAGTGACAATCTGAGTGTGTGTATAAAATGTAATTTTATGCGTTTCTTATGCAGTGATCTACATATTAAAGCCAATATCTTATGTTTTGTAGGTTTTGTCTTATATTTTATGCTTTAGCATGTGCAATATATATTTACAAACCATGGTGATACGAATTTGGTGCCAGTGTTATATTTTGCATAAGATTTGTAATAAACAATATAAACTATTGTCTGATGGTTTCAGTGGGGTTTTGTCGGTATTGTTTGCTTTTGTAAATTGAGGTTTAAGGACTTGGGTAAATGTCACATGCAAAATGAGGAAAAATATTTACTTCAGCGAATGACTTGGAATTCAACCTGAATCTTCTCAAGCACAGTTTAGTAACTTTTTCAACTACTGAATGCTGTATTAATGTAATGAAGAACCCTAACTGTAAACTACTATTGAAATGCATTCAGATGGTTATTTTTACAAATAAAAATGGTACAAATACTGTTGGAAAACTGAGTAGATTTTCTTTTAAGGGAGGGGGAAAGTCTTATTTAGCAACGAAAGTGCAACTGTATGTATTTCTGCTTTGTACTTAGGGCCCTCCTATGTAACTACCCCTTTTCTCAGCCAGTTGATGTATTGCTTCTCTGTAGATGAAAAAAACCACAGGAGCCTTTTTTGGGGGGGTCAGTTATGAAATATTTTACTGTTAGTTTTCACTGAGGCACACCACCAGCAACTGTGGGTTTGTCTTGCATCGGGGGGCAGCCTGTCCTCACAGAGACGAAAATCCAAAGTGCCTAAATATAGCAAAAGATAGCAACTTGCTAAGTGCCTAATTAAAACCAATAAAAAAAACCCCAACCCCACCGAAGCCAAATCACCGTCACCCGCGTTCTTTTACGTTTCGAGTGCTTGAAACTTTCCGGACGTTGTGACCAAGCTCCTGACAGGCTGGGACCCTTAAAAGGCCCCGCGCGCTGGGGGCTGCGGGTTTATTTTCGGCGAGGTGAAGGGCGCGAGCTCCGTCCCTCAGGGGTGCGCACTCCCGGGCGGCGGGGCTCCCTCAGACCGGGCTCCCTCAGACAGCGCTCGGAGCCATCGCCACCGGGGGTAAATCTGCGCCCCCTCCCCGACACCCGGGAGGGCATTTTGAAGTCCGTAAAGGCCGACGAGCCCGCGCCGCCTGAGGCCCGGCTGCTCGCTGAGGCGGGCGGTGAGGGGAAGGAGTCTCCTCAGGGGCCTCAGCCCGGGGCGGCGCCCCTTCGGCAGCAGCCCCGCGGGCTGGAGGCGGCTCAGCAGGCGCACCGCGGCAGTAGCGCCATGACTCGACTTCCTTGTCATGGCCGACACGCCTCGTCCCCGCAAGCTACCGGCTGGGGGAAGCCCGTAGGTAGGTTCCTGACCTCACCGTAATGGCGCCCACCCCCGCGACATGGCGGCCGGCCCCTCCTCAGCCGGCCTAGCCCGTGACCTTCCCAACATGGCGGCCGCCCTCCCGCTCCCGGCGGCGGCCAGGTTGTGGCGCCCGCCCGCCCGCTCCGCCTCCCGGGCGGTGGCGGCGGCTCCCAGCTCCGCCCCACCCCGCCGCGCCTGTGTGCGCGGAGAGCCCGCCGGGGGGACGAGGGTTGCGGGGCGCGATGGGGCGGGCGGGCCGCCGGCTGCCCGCCGTGGCGGCGGCGGTCTTCTACGGGGCGCTGGCGGCGCTGGTGCTGGTAGGGGTGCGGGACGTGCTGTTCCTCTACGAGGAGAACCGGTGCAGCATGACCTACATGTACGAGTACCCCGAGTACCTGGTGAGTGCGGCGGGAGGGGAGCGGTGTAACAGGTGGGAGCCCGCCCGGCGGGGTGCGGCGCCCGGTGGGGCGGTGCCGCCCGCACGGCCTCGGCCGGGAGCCGCTCTCCTGAGGCGCGGCGCTCCCGAGGCTCCTCTCCTGAGGCGCGGCGCTCCCGAGGCTCCTCTCCTGAGGCGCGGCGCTCCCGTGGCTCCTCTCCTGTGGCTCCTCTCCTCTCCCCTCCTACAGGGAGAGGAAAGCCGCCTCGGACGCGCCCAGCCGAGGGAGGGAGAGCCACGGCGCAGGCGGCTCCTGGCGGCCCCCGTAACTTCGGGGTTTAGCGAACTTACCGCTTCCTGAGGCGGCCGCCGCGGAAGGGCAGGCGACGAGTGGGAAAAAACCCGCTTTTCCTCGTTCGAGGGGTCGGTGGGTCTGGCAAAAAGGGGCTGCCTTGGGCTGCCCCATCTGATGGTGCGCCTTGGGTAGCTGCCGACGGGCGAAGCTGCCTACCTGTAAAGGAAGGAGGTGATTCGTACTGACACCTGTACAAAAGAAAACGACTGGAAAAGCTTCCAGTTGTCTACCCTGGAACTGCCTGTAGTTACCGTGGTCCTGGTGAAACCGGTCGCCCAAGCTCTTGCAGAGGCGGGGACAGGTCCTCTGACAGCACTCACAGCACTGTCAGTGCCCAGGAGGCTATGTGTCGTGCTTCTCGGTCCTTTTGGTGACTTTACACGGTGTGAAGCCACTAATGTGACCGAAAAAAAGTGAATAACTGAGATTCAAATATGAGTGGATTCCTCAGGCTAGTGAGCAGTGGTGCGAGGTCTTCCCAGAGAGCACTTTGTAGGTGGGACGGCGCCGCAATGTGTGTGGGAACTTGTAAACCTGCCTGAAGTCCCTCTCACTTTGCTAATGAAGCCTTTTAGAAACCATTGAAGACCTCTTTGAAAACCTCGAATCAGTCTGAGAGAGGGGACTGCTGATGGAACTGTTGTTTTCCAGACAGGTATTATGGCTTAATAGCGGGAGGATGTAAATATGTGAGTATGTGTAGGTTGCTGCTACAGCATGCAGTTCCTACAAAACAATTTATCTTTTTAATAGTAGGTCTTACTACAGGCTTTTCTGTCCTATTAAAAGCATCCGAAAGCATAATTTGTTGGCTCCTAAACATTCATTTAGCATTATCTAGGATATAATCTATGCTGGGAAAAAAAATGAAGTATTCTAAGTACTATTCTGTTCTGAAGTAGCTTGCAAGGTGGCTTGCATAGTAAAGAAGATCTTAAAGCAAAACCTTAGTACCTAATTGGTAATGAAACAGCAAATTAATTTTTGGATCTATTAACCTTCATTAGCAAACCTTGACATAGTTGTGTTAGCCTACAAAAGAAAACCTTGGTATAGCTACAAAGGTTGTTTTGTCAGTGCTGTAGGACAAAAATTTTTAAGCAGTTACAAATACTTAAAATACTACGTGCTAAGTTTTCAGATCTCCTAGCAGCCAAAACCTACTTCAGCTTCAATCTGAAGTCAACCAACGGAAAGTTACTAGTGAAACCTGTGTGACGTTATTGGTGGTTCCATGAAATTCTCATCTGCCACCACACGTCTTTTGTATTTACTCATTATGTCAGGGCTTAAATTCTAAGCCTCTTTAGGGGAGTGTTGTGCTGGTAAGAGATGCAAGGCTTAAGGGTAAGCAGTGGTTCTATGCAGGAGATGCAAGTCACAGCTGGCTGTATTGCCTCTCAGAATTTCTATTCCTTCAATAATAATCGCTTTTACTGTGTAGGAAACAGTACTTTGGCGGGGGGGGAATGATGAATTTGCCTGGGTTTGCGAAGGCATTATACTTTTCAAGTACCTCTTTATTGGTGAAGGGATTGTTTGTTTAATTTTTCATGTCTTTGTAATGCTGGCATTGGTAGGAAACCACAAGGTAGGAATTTCAGGTGAAAGGTACCTGTCCTCCCTTCCAGATTGGGTATCACATAAAACAAATAACTATTTGAGCAACTAAATATAGGAAGTTTAATTTCTTTTGTGTCGAACAGCACGGGTTAGCTCCCAGTCAAGCTAATACTAAGTAAAGTAATGGGTTTGGATATTTTTTCTTTTTTGTACTTAACCATCTTTTTTTTTTTTTTACATGAGTTGTAGAATTGCAATATTTGAATTTAACCTACCCTTGTCCTGTTCAGCTAAGCTTGGTAAGAGATTTGGAAATTAGTAATGAGGACTTTTTCATGTAAACCTAGTTTCTTTGGGACCCAGGGTGAAAAATGAAGCCTACATTGACATTGTAAAAAGTTGCTGTAGCTCATTGCAACCAATTATACAACCAATGTCTTGGGAATTCAGAATTTAAAACCACTGTCATGGAACACAAACGTCTGTTTTCCTTTGAAGTTACATGTTGCCATTTTGTTACAATATTTGAGTACTGTCATTTCCAAAAAACCTCAATATTTTGGTAGTACAATACTCATGGATTTTGTATTTTTTTGCTTTTAACATTGACCCAAAGAAGGGCAGCTCTTTAATCTTATGTTCTGTAAAAGAACAGTTGATTAGATCCGTCAGGAGGTCGTATAAACATATCTTGATGGCACTCTTAGTTTAGTAATGGAAACTGATTAATTTATGGGGTTTTTTTCCCACATAATTTTAAAAGCCTTTGAAAAAGGAGCAGTAAAAAGGAATGAGAAAGGGACAGGGAGATCAGTGAAGTTGGAAAGGCGTGATAGTGGACAAAAGGGAAAGAACATTGAAAGGATAGTCTGAAGACACAAGCCCTGAACAGAGCTGAATCTTTTTTGTTCATAGTGAAAAAATTAAACACAGTTTATTTCCCTAATATGTGTGTTTCGTTATATATATTATATAATATATATATTATACATATAGAATATACATTTTAAATATATGTATAAAACATCATAAGAAGAGATTGCAAATAACCAATATGGCAAAAAATGTGAAGGCTAAGGGAGAAAGGAAATGGTCTTTACCTGAGGAGGGGCAGAGAAGAGGAGGGGAAAGGAAAGAGTGTGTGTGGACAGGGGATTAAAGCTAAATTGCCTGTACTGTAGATGCTGTTGAAAGAAACAACTGAAACATCCAAAAATAGGGATGCCTCTATTTCAAGAAAGCAATTAAGAGAGACTTTAGAGAAGATTTCTGATGCAAAACTAAGTTTAGTTTTGACCTTATTTTTAAAATATTAATTACACCTTTACAAATTTATTTTTAAGTTATCTTATTTGTCTCTGAATTGGCATAACAGAAATAGTAAAATGCTAGAACAAATGTATTCACATTCATAGGAATTTTAAAAAAATATATCTTACATTCTCAAAATTGTAAACCCATGAACCTCCATACAGGAGTTAATTAAACATTTTCTTCCTTACTACTTATTTTGTTTAAAGCAGTGTCATATGGCTCTAAGAGTCATAACTTGCTGGTCTAAGACTTGATCATCACCTACTCCTCAGGTTTAAAGGTGTTTTGTTCTTCTCTTTGGGAATTTGTAATCCTCTAAGTTATCTGATAGGTTAGGTGATTAGTTGTTTGCTTCTTTCTTTTAATACAAGAAATATGGCATTTTTTAAGATGACAGTTGACTGTGTAAATTGGATCTGGAGTAGTTACAATACTAGGTTGTTTGCCGCTAGGCCACCCAACCGACTGAAAACAAGAACAACAAAAAAACTCCCCAGAGTATCATGGGTTTATTTTTTCTGACAAGCCATATTAAGGTGGTTACTGCTATTGTTGAAATTCCCACTGCAGGTAAAAATCGCCTAAGAGAATTCACACAGCATCTGTGATTTACCCTGACATGGTAGTTGTCATCTGACAGTCACCTACATAACCCTGTTCTCCAGGTTCAGCTTTGGTGTCAGGTGCAGTAGCACATCCTTGTTCCGAGTTATGTGGTGTTGGAAAGGATTCCAGAACCATTCAGGTGCAGGAGCAATAATTAGGATCAATCATATGCTCCAGTTTCTGCTCTCAAATTCTTGTGTCCTGGGGCAAGTGGTTGGGTTTTGACATGGTTGGGTTTCAAAACCAGTTAGTTAAGAGCTATTTCAAGTAACTGCAGCCATTCATGCACAGTAATACCTAGTTAAACAAAATACCTGATATTTTATTTTTAATAATTTTTTTAAAGCAAACCCCAGTTTTTAATTCTGTATTCTTTAGACTGTAATTTAAAACAATACGTAAAACATAAGCCACGTCATTGCAATTACTGAATAGCTGCTATATTTTATTGTTTGCAACAATATAGACAAAGTAATTGGTTTCTTTTTAACTTTTGCAACAGAAAATAAAATTACCGAAGAAAACAGCCAGAAGATACCCAGTATATGAGCTCTATCTTTATGGGGAAGGGAACTATGCTGAAGAAAACAAAAATCTCCTCTTGACAGGAATTCCAGTTCTCTTTCTTCCCGGGAATGCTGGCAGTTACAAACAAGGTAAGCATTTGGCTAAGTTACAGGTATGTTACAAAGAGCTCTCCTATTTATGCGTTACTTAATGGCAAGAAGTTTTCTGTTTGAAATAATATCAAGAGAAGTCATAATCATTGATCATAATATGGTATAGATATCCTTGTTAGTCCATGGTTAATTTCAAGCAGGCAGAGGACTTCATTTTTGTTCGAAATCAGTTGGTCTATAGTATGTGTCTTGGAGTAACACTTTGATTTTTGATAGCCAGAAACAATACCATTTATTCTGTCCTCGGGCAGCTCTGCACCCTTGCTGTGTTTTTGATCGTAAACATCTCATTGGTTTTGATTTGAACGAGGGTGAGTGTAGTTATGCCAAATAAAACCAGACCTGAATTTGATTAGAGGAAAGTGAACAAGCTACCATATGTGATGTTAAGTAAATATGTGCTATAGAAATAAGCATAGTCTCGTGGCTTGCCTGTAGCTTCATTGTTTCCCACCTCTTTATGTGGTGGTTTTTCCTTAGCATCATCTTCTCAATGTGCATATAGCCTGCTTTTGTTTTCCGTGTTATTCCCTCTGACGCTTCTAGGCTCCACATGAAAAGAAGTAACAGTTTTAAAGTATTTTTCATTGTAAATACCAAAGTTAGTGCTTTGATGAAGTATTGTGTTTGTTTATTCCAGTTTCCAGTATTTTTTGCAGGCTGGGTTTCTCAGACCGTTATTTTTGTTTTCTAAAATGTGCTTTGAAACAGTTAGTAACTCACTAATGATGTTAGTCAAATTGATGTGTATGTATGGGGAAAAACACCACAGTCTAAACCCCGGTGTCTTAACTGTGATCGTTTTTCCTTGTATTTGCACTGAACTTGATTAAATTATCTGCTTTTAGAGAACTCTTACGAAGTTTTTTCTTTGAGAACATACCTGCTTAGCTTATAAAAAAATCAAGTATTTTCCCAACTTGTATGTTCAGAAAACTTATACAGACTTGCAGGCACAACAGTGTCCAAAGAAGGTAACAAACCTAATGATTATGAGAGATGCCATATGGACTTTTCTAATTGTGCATAAAGTATTGCAAATCTGAATTATGCTGTCTCTAAAAACATGGCAGTACATCGCAATGTAGGAAGTAAAATAATACTTTTGGAGTATCTTAGGAATCAAAAGGAAGTATATGAAGAAAAGCTAGCTGAGCAGAAGTACTATGTATATAATGTGTCCTTTAAGATCAGTAAATATTTAGATATTTGTTATTTGTTTTGAGAAATTGATTTAGGGAAACTGTCAACAAGCTATGTTCATTTTTTAAAATCTCTGTTCAAATAAATTGTTCTGCTTTATTCAGTGGCTCAGAATAGTTTTGGTTTTATGATGGAATTTAGGAAAATTTATATTTCTTTCAGAATTTATTGTGGAATAGCACATTTTATTTCTGATACCTAGATGAGCAGAGAAGGTGTTGGTGTTATTTTCTTACTTGTTTAAAATATATTCATATTTGCTGAGCAATGAAGATGGAGGTGTTGCTGCTGCCTTTGCTGGGTCTGTTATTTTGATGTGTTACGGGCTGCAGGGAGACCCTATTTTGGTCTTTCGGTACTTAAAGGGGGCTTATAAGAAAGATGGGGACAAACTTTTTAGCAGGGCCTGTCGCAATAGGACAAGGAGTAATGGTTTTAAACTAAAAGAGAGCAGGTTTAGACTAGATAGGAGGAAGAAATTTGTTACAATGTGGGTGGTGAAACACTGAAACAGGTTTCTCAGAGAGGTGGTAGGTGCCACATCCCTGGAAACATCCAAGGTCAGGTTGGACAGGGCTCTGAGCCTCCTGATCTAGTTGAAGATGTCCCTGCTCATTGAAGGGGGGTTGGACTAGATGAACTTTAAAGACCCCTTCCAACCCAAACTATTCTATGGTTCTATGACTTTTGAAACATCTTAATTCATCATCCTTCATGGCCACTAAAATAAAGCCTGAATTTTGTATGTTTTTCAAAGGTTCAACTAAAAGGTGATAATCTGGTTTAGTTGTTGGGAATAACCTGAGATTGGGAGAGTTGAGATCCTGAGTTTTATTTAGGAATCTGTCACATGCTTGCCCTGTGATCTTTGGCAATATTCTTGTTCCTTTTACCATGACTTTCAAGGTATAAAGTTGTGACAATGTATTTGATCTTTTAATTACTTTTAAAATAATTTCAAAGGTTTTCTTATTGCTATTACTTTTAGATAGAAATGGTGAAATGATAGCTACAAATTAGCTCTATAAATTTCATCATGCTGGGTGTTTGAACATAGGATGTATTTCATAAATATTACTGTTTCATTTAATTAACTTTGCTGAAATTTGTTTGATACGTAACTTTCTATAGCAGACTTTTCTGAAGGAGGATTCTGTAGGCTGCAGATCTCTACAACCGTTGCACTGTAGAAGAATCTTCCTTCTGTGTGCTGGGTTTGGGCACCCCTTTCTGGCGATCATTAGTTCCTTTGCAAAAGTATATACTTGTTTTTGGGACTCTCTCTTTTATTTCCTTCTGTCCCCATCATGCTTTTTTATTTGCAGCCGTTACTGTTCCCATCCTGCCATGTCTCCATGGAAACTCAGGGACAATTCTGCACTCAGAAGGCTGTATTAAATAGCAGCTGGAGTTAGATGGAGAAGAGTGGTCAGAAGCAAGGCCTTGTAAACAGAACATTTCATTCCTCAAGATTTTAGGTGGAAAAGTGTCCTTTGGGGTTTGTCTTTCCAATCCCCCATACATATCTTCGTGATATTTGGGAATGTTTTCCTGGAGTTGGTGGTCTTCAAAGGAATTTTGGGAAAGCTTAGCAGTAGCAATGAAGCTAGAGTTGAAGTCAAAACTTTGTCCTGGTGGCAGTAAGGAGGTGCAAATGAGATGAGAAGAGCAGCCCTCAGGTGGAGGATCGTAATCCTTGATCATTATTTTGCCATAAAATATCTCTGTAGTCAGCAGTAGGCTAAGTCACATGGTTAACTGCCATAAGCATAGTGTACAGCTCTTGGTAACCCCATCCAAACTTTCCTTTCATCTCATCAGGTTTGTTCTTTTCCAGATTCTTCTGTAAGTTCTTGTTAAGATATGTTTGCTAATATTTTTTTACCAGAGGGATTCTTATACAAGTAGGAAATAATGATTTCTTTTCTCATTTTACAGTTCAGTTCTGACACTGACTGATACTTTTGCCCTGATGGTTTATATCTGCAAATCTGTTTTTGTAAAACGACTGTGATGGTATATTAGGAAGAGATTATTTGCTCTTGGATGTCTTTTTCATCCTTTTTTTTACTTCTATAAATGACTTGAAAATGGATTTAAGATAACATTTGTTTCCTAATAGATTATATGTCTTTCTCTACTAATGATGGTGCTAGGCAGTGACTATTAGACTGTTCTAATTAATATGGTTTCTTTTCCTAGTACGTTCCCTTGGCTCCATTGCACTTAGAAAAGCAGAAGATGTTGATTTCAAGTATCATTTTAATTTCTTCAGTGTCAACTTTAATGAGGAGCTGGTTGCATTGTATGGTGGTAGCCTGCAACGGCAGACCAAGTTTGTGCATGAATGCATAAAAGTAATTCTTAAGTTGTACAAGGTAAGTGGTGGTGTATGCTGAATAATGTACTTGCATTTTGGAATGGGATTCTGGGCTGCCTTTTCTGCTGGAAAACTGAAGAATGATGAGTAAGGGAGGGAGACTTTATAATGTGTGTGTAATTGAATATGATGATGGTGCAATAGAGAACTGTGTTGCTCTTTAATAGATTTTCAATGCCTGTGAGAATCCCAGAGCCATAGTGTTAGATCCTATAATTGTGTTTCTAAGTAAATACTTCCGTGCACAATGTATGCCTTTTTTGTAGTAGAGATGTAAACTTTCCCTAGCTTATTAAAATACTAGTATAGCATCACTTTATGTCCAGTTCTCTCTAGGAAAGCTCTTTGATAGCCTAAGAGTCTCAGAAATTAAAATAAGCCAAAGTTTCTTATGCTTCCACGGGATATATAATATTTCCTTTTGAGCTGCAAACTTCACATTAAACACATTTTTTTGAGATAGCGACTAAATTTATATTCATTTTGTAAACTTGTGAAGTTGATACTAGTTATTATTATACTTGAGAAGACAGAAGTTAATTTTGGGGGAAAAATGTATAACTGATAACCATAGTTCAATGTCAGATCTGTTTTTGCAAATCTATTTTTGATGTGTCTAATTATTGTTTGCTCTTTGCTTAAGGATCGAGAATTTGCTCCAACTAGTGTTGCAATAGTAGGTCATTCCATGGGTGGTCTTGTTGCAAGAGCATTGCTTACTCTGAAGAATTTTAAGCCTGAACTTATAAATCTCCTCATTACACAAGCCACACCTCATGTTGCACCTGTAATGCCTTTAGACAAATATCTTACGGGTAAGTATTGCAGGTTATCTCATTACATTCTATTTCTTTATTGATCCTCTCAAGCACTGATGGGTGAGATTCTTGCAAATCAACAGCAGAATGTGTTGTTTTGTTGTTTGCTGTAATTATTCTATTCCGTTGTTACTCAGGTGGTTGTGTAAGGGCACTAGGATACTGAGAAAAAATAAGTGTCATAACATGAGTTATGTGGACTTGAGCTTGTGGGCAGGGCCTGGAACTCTCAATAATTCTCAATAATTTGTAATTTTAGTAAGTTGCAGAGCGTATTACTAAATTTGTAAGTGCTCCAGCAAATGACATTTTTTTTTTCTTTCTTGTTTATAAAACTTGACCTCTGTAGTGGCTTTCTTTATCAAATACATTGCCTAAATAGCGTTGTCAAATTTAATGTTTGTCACGCACAAAAGTTTGGGGGAGGGTGTGGGAGAATATTAAGTGTAGATATAATATTTTATGTAATATATTTGCACAAAACATAGGTCATATTTTCTGCTCACCTAAATAACTGTTGCATAAAAAATGAAGTATAATCATTATGCTTGTACTATAGACTTCTTGAAAAGCTAGATTTGACTAAACTATACTGATGAAATATATGCTCAGTGATAATGTGTTGTTGCATGTAGATATTGAGGGAATTGATGAAGGAAAGGGAATAGACATTTATTTTCATTATTCTCTGTGGCACCCAAGAGGAATGGATTATCTTTAGCTGCTGAATTTGATTTATTGTGCTTGTATTAATTCTCTCTCCTTCAATTGATTGCAATGCAATACTTCTTCCTTGCTGACTGTTTCTGTCTGTCCTTAAAATAAATCCGTGGTTTGCTACTCAAACAATATATGTGCTTAGCTGATACAGAAGATGTAAGTTTATCTGTGTTTCCCAGCTGCTACTTTCTTGAGATTAAAACAATAATTTTCCTTCCTTATATAAATCAAAGCGTGAATGCCTCTAGGGGGGGCTTACAGAAACTTTCAGTTAAATATTTCTATAGCTTTGTTGTATATCAAGTAGACTTATGGGGAAACTGTGATTGATTTTAATATATTTTATAGATTTTTATACAGCTGTAAACAGTCATTGGATTCTAAAGGCCCAAGATTTAAGAAATTTAACTACTCTTTCTGTGGCGGGAGGATTCAGAGATTACCAAGTTCGTTCAGGACTGGCTTTTCTACCAAGATTGAGTCAACATGACAGTGCCTTATCTGTTGTGGTAAAAAAGCAAACTATTTTTTTGGTTTTGCATGGAGCTATGTTAGATAGTTGTTTATGTAGTGCATGTATCGGTGTCTAATTGTAGTCTGTATGTGCAGCATAGTATAACTACATATGAAAATGCTACGTGTGAAAACACCAAGTAGATAGTGTATGGTTTTAAAACCACAAATAGCTGATGTTGTCTAAATGAGTGTCCACTGGAAGAGGATGTGTTGGGGTGGATTTTAATCTTTTACTGCTTGGTACTGTTTCTTCTCGCCACCTTCTTGCAGCTTTTTAGTTTCAGAACTCAGGTTTTATTTTCCGCTGTTTTTACAAGAGATGTGTATATGGCGACTGACAGATGTGCAGCATAGGGATAGACTGCTGGTTTGATTATAAAAAGACAACTTTGGCTTCAAGCCTTCTTTTTGTATTTACTGTTTTTCAAAGAAATTGGGAATAGAAAGGATCTACTGGATTATCAAGTCCAGTCTTCTGCTCTTGCAGACATTTGTCTCCTTCCAAAACTAATCAAGCAACATCATGGAAGCAGTTAGATTTGTCTTTCCATCCCCCTGCCATCAACCTGTTCCCAATGTGGAAGAAGCTGGAAAACACTCCTCAGTAGGAAGAAAATTTGTAATTTCCAACTTCTGTTCACCGCCCAAGTCAGCTTTTAAATGCCTTTTGACATCAACTTGAAGCGTTATCTGAAGTAGTTGTTATTCCCGTGGTGTTTACCTCCCTGACCATTGCACAGAAAGCTGTCTATAAATAGTCTCAGCTCTGATGCTGCTAGGCTAAGAGGATTAACTCTGTGTTCCCTTTGTCCTAGTAACCATTCTCTGCATCTGCTCTACTTTCATTGCTCTTGAGTGTTGGTGACCAGAATTTTGCATGAGATCTCATGTGTAGTGGTACCAGTTCTTTCGTGTGGCTTTCTATTTTTTTTTTTTGGTTTGGAGGTTTTGTTTTGGGGGCTGTTTTGTTGTTGTTGTTTGGTTTGTTTTTTTTTCTTCCTGGCTGTAATGTATCAATAGTTCATAGCTTACTTGATTCAAGTTATACAGCTAGGTGATGAGCTCCATTTATGGGACGTATTTTTGATATTATTAGTCCCTAAAATGCAATACACTTATATAGATTAATAGCTTCAGACTGTCCAGTTCTTCCTGCATGGTCTTCTGATGCTCCTTTCTGTTGAGGGTGCCCTTGCTTTTTCAGCAGCAGCTTTGCTGGCATGCTGCTTTTCTTGTGTGCCAGGATCACTTATTAAAATAGTAAGATTATTCATAAAAGCAGTCTTTGAAGAAATTTTGGTAAGTTTTCTCCATACTATTATTTGCCCTTTCACCATTAGACTCTGCTGTCTAACATAGAAAGCTTAGTCATTTTGTTTCACAAGTCCTGTTTCACAAGTTCTTCAGCACTTGTAAGATTTTTGACTGAGGAAGTCATTCTGTTGTATCTTAGTCCCTTCAATTCTTAACATAAACATTGCTCTTTTTAATAATTGCGCAAATATGTTTAAATAAGGAAAGGGGAAATGCTTACTTAGAATTTTAAAATGTTGAACTTTAACAAAATCTTAACTTTTTTCCTTTCCCAAACAGAGCTCTGCTGTGCCTAGAGCTTGGGCCTCAACAGACCATCTCTCCATAGTGTGGTAAGCTAATGAACAAAGGTTAATTGACTGACCATACACCCGTCTGTTCCCTACTGTTATCACTTAATATAATAATTTTACTTCAGCACAATATTATTACAGTGTCTCTTCTGACCGCTTTTATTCCCCTAGATATTTCCTTTCTAGATTTAATTTTACTTATTCTGCCTTCTAGGTGCAAAGAATTGATTCTGGCTACCATTAGAGCTTTTTTTGATCTCATAGATGAAAATACAAGGCAGGTTTGTATATGTGGTCTCCTGTATATTTCCCCATCACACTTTCTTCTTCCATCCCAGAATGCTAGATCAGGACAAATGTCATCCTATTAAACAGAAAACTCCTTTTTGATTACTGTAAGTCATGCTGAGAAAATTGTGGCTGTTTTGTACCAGTGACTGAAAAATTCTGTAGCTTTGTGTTGTTTGACCAACGTGTCAGAAATAATTGGGTGCTAATCCAGTTTTTATGATTGACTGCTTGATGCTTTATATCTGGGGTGTAGACTGAACTTGTCTTTCATAATGCAGCAGGTTTAGTTGACCTTGCACTAGGATAAGCAAATTTCACTAGCTGTGTGGCTTTGAATGTGACCTCTCAATGTGTGTTTGAGTCACTTTCTCTGAGTAGTATACAAAAGGGGAAAACTGATAGTTAACTCAGACATAATACTGCTCGAATTTCACCATGCGTTGTGGTCGCAGTGGTCAGCACCAGCATATGTTTGTGGTGCTCTTTTGCAAATTACACTTACAAAAATAGAATGCAAGTCAAGTATTAGCATATTTGTTTAACTCCAGCTAACATTATTTATTGCTTTTCTAAATAAACATACTGTATCTTACTTTTTGAGAATTGCTGGAGAAATCTCCCATTGTACTCTGTTTTCTTTCTGAAATGTTATGCAACAATAAACATGAATTGGAATCAAGGTCCAAGAGGTTGAAAATATATAAGAGCAGAGCCCCAGACATAGAAGAGGAAGGCTTCCAGGTGTTCTTTTTGAGGCTGTTTGGGACAGAGAGAACTAGAGAAACTTCTCTAGTTTCTTATGTGTACTGACTTTAACGTGTGATTTAGAGAGACAAAAAGGGGGTCCAGTAGTTTTGGAGCGTGCTGGCAGTGTGCTGGAGGGTAAAACTTTTCAGACATCAGTTGTAATGGCCACAATTTTTAAAAGCTGAATTGGACAAAAATTACTCCTGTAAATTTGAGTAAACCAACCAAACAAAAAAAACACATATGAAAGCAAATCTCACTGTAGCTCTACAGTGAATCTTGAAATATTACAAGATGTAGTAAGTTGGTTTTGTGAATTCAGACTACTAAATATAAATGAGAACTTTTCCTAAACTCTTGATGTGTGTTATTTCAGGAAGAATGCATGTGTATCTAGAAAGAAAGTTTAATAGAATGGTTTCCTTTTGTTCAGAGTAAGCAAGCATATAAAACTGTAGTTTTGGCTATGCTTTGTAACGTGTGTAGACTTTTTGTATTACAGTGATTGACTATTGATGGCACGTTATTTGTTCAGATTATTGAATTTAGAATAGAAAGTGTATCATGTCTTCTAACAATCTCTCCTGCCTCTCATCCCAAAAACAGCAGTGCAAGCTTTGGTCATGTGGTGATTGTACATCACACAAATTGGTAAAATAAAATTTGACAATGTGTTCTTTTTTTAGATAACTGAGGATCCAAAGAAAAGAATGGCTGTACTGAATCACCACTTTGTGAGACACCCTGCAAAGATATTTGAGGAAAATCCTGAAGCTTTTACGGAACTCACAGGTGTGCAGCAGGTTTTTTTTTGAACAGGATTCAATGATACACCTTAGTGAGAAGATTAACTATTAAAAAAAACCCAACTTCTGGAATGCATTTTGTCTTTCTTCAGACATTGCTAAAATAATACATGGGTTATAGACGTAAGCTATCAACTTTTATGTGGTTTCAGCACTAAATAGATTAAAAGGGGTAGGAGCAAAAGTCTGTCGCACTTACTATGGCTTAGATTCTGGGGGATGAGCAGGAGTCATATTTATACCAGGGTGTCCAGTAGACAATCTCAGAAACTGACAATAGCAGGATGTCAAAAGTACTAATCTGTGCTTGCATCCCATGCTTGCAAGAGGGATAGTATGGGTATGGTGGAGCCATTGTGTTAGTTTTGTGCTACTTGTCCAAATCCTGAATATTCAGATCAGCTTCACCAGTGAATTCCTTTTTTTCATGATGTGGCAGGGTAAAAAGAGGTTGTGGAACTGATTTATTTGTTTGTTTGCCGTTTTGAAGGTCAGTTTTTAGCAATAGGAAGAAATATGTTTAAATTGGATTTCGTGTTAGCAGCTTCCTGTTTGTGGTGACCTCTTGACACTTAGCTAAATTTGTGTTGAATTTGTTACTCTAGTTGCAGAGGTGAAAGATAATAACTTTTTTGCAAGACAATTTGTATTGTTTGTATCTCTGATCTCTTCATTATTCTGTCTTATTCTTTTTCTCCAGACATATCTTTAAACTAGTACTTTTTTCTTATACATGTTATTTGCTTCATCATTGACTTGCTTCTACACAAGTTTCTGTATTAGTTCTCTTAAAAGGCTGATAGAAACGAAGATCGGGGCTGTTTCTAATGTTGCTTCACCTTTAATCAGACACCTGGCCTGTAATTACATTAGTATCATTCAGTTTCTTATTTGGTTTGTTGCCTTGAGAGCTTTGTTTCAAGATCCATAGGGTTTTTATTTTACAATTACTATGTTGCCATTGGATCCTAGGGTTTTGCTGTTTCCTGTGAAACTGATGATTACTGTTGCGTGTAATTCTAAGCAGTAGCAATCATTATAAAGTTTATGGACATTTACAGATACCAGGTAAAACCGTGGCTATGAGTAAAAAATAAAGATAAGATTTTCGGAGAAAAGGAAATAGTTCTTTTAGTGTGGCTTATAAAAACATATTTATTTTCAGGAGCCTTCATGTGGGTTACAGTCAAAGCCTCAAAATGGACTTACTTATTTTACAATGTAAGTAACATTTTTTTCCTCGTTGTGTTTTTATGGCTTTTGTTTGTTTTTTAACTAATGAGACATCTTTTTTCTTTTAAGGATTCTGATGGAAAATATTTCACATTTCCTCTTGCAAGCCACAGAAAATCATACAGTCATGTTTACTGTGAAAACAGTATGTTGGTGAGAAAATACTTCTTTAATTTCTGGAATTTGTCTATAAAGCTGTATTTTTGCAATTTAGATTTGCTGCAGTTTTAAGACAGTTTAATGAACAGATGAAATTACTGACATTCATTTACATTCACAGTCTAATACATTGCGCTAGATGTACTTCCTGTTTTACCGTGTCACACTTAGTGTTCAAGACCTGAAACCTTCAATGCCACCTGAACCTCAGATGTTTTATTTTTGACTCTGGTTAGTCCCAGATTACTTCCTCTTTTAATTTAGTGCAGTTCTGTATTGACAGTTTTGAATTAAGGAGTTATTTTTAGTGCTGCCAGGATTCAGCCATACTTCTAATTTGGGAGAGCTGTTTATAGGTTTGCTTTCCCATAATAAAATTTAAGTGAGTCTAAAAGGCTACAGAGACCTTCCACTTCACAGTGGAAGTGAATGGAAGCCAGATGAGAAAACAGCACTTTGTCAACTGTCTCCTCTCTTGAGAGGCAATAATGTACATTTCTCGTATTTTTCACTCGACATTCAGCCAAAATGTTTTCAGATTATTTTTTTTTTATATTTTTTGAAAGGAATGAATGTAATCTCTTGACAAACTGAAGATGGATAAATATGCTTTTCAGAATTATGTATTTTAGATTAGTAGCTAGAAAAATGAGATGCTTTTCCATTCCATCCCTGTTACCACTCCTCCCCTTACCAAAGAAGGGATTCATACCACTATTATGACAAAAGATTGCTCAGTGCTTTTCTAATTTTCCTTCCCAGTAGCACCTTCAATATTTACACATTTATTGTGATCTTAGTTGTGTGTTAATAGGGTAACTTTTGCCTTTGCTATATCTTAAAGAGAGGACTAGTACTGCCGGAGGAGGAGGAGGAGGTGCAGAACAATGTCTGAGATACTTGCATCACGGTGCTATTGCTTCAGAACATTTACATGTTTAAGGAGGGGAGCAGTAGAACATTAAAAATCTAAAGCATTCCTCAACTATTTCAGATAGTACCTTGAGATGTTTCTTTCAGCTAGGAAAGATTGAACTTTCATAAAATTGAATTTTACATCATGTATGAAGGCACTTTTTTTTTTTTAAAGAGTAATGATGAAAGTTTGTTTCTTTACCTTGTACTTATTTTTAGTAAATGTATTGATTCATAGCTAGAGAAGGTGGCAAATGGAAGTTATAAAATGATTTGTAGAAAACCCCATTATCATATTTCCCCACTCATATTTCATCTTTCCATCCTTGTAACTGTAATTCCAAGACTATGATATCAGACTTCTAATGGAGGATATCTCTTGCTGTTAACTCAGAAGTTTGACTTCATTGTGAAATGAAGAAAAAAAGTTGGTGGATATATTTCATTATAAATAATTGAGGAAGTCTAAGAGGGACTCTTTGTATCATCACCTTCACTTTTACACTTTAGCATTTGACTTTATTAGTGTTTGGTCACTATAGCAATGGCTGCTGCAGGCACCCTTAATAGAAAAGAAGTGAGAAGAAGAAGGAAGTTTGTTCCTCTTCTTAGTAAGTTAATTGCACCAAGGTTCTGCTATCAGAGGATTTTTAGAAGAGTTGCTGAGATCTCGTGTACTGGAACAGTTTGCATATAGAAATTTTGGAGAAGATTATCAGCTTTAACTCCTACATTGTTTGGAGTAAAGAATTGCTATTTTTAATATATTTATAAATAAATCACACATAGGTAATGCACTATTTTATGGTATTGATTTCACAGGACACAAGTAGCTGGATTTATGGCTGTATCAACAGTAATTCATCAATGTGGTAAGTATAAACAGTTCCTGTTCTTTATTCAAATGGATCTTGTGATGAGACAGCATTTGAATTTAAAGCATATGAAATACCCTTCTCCTTAGGAAGGAAGAGATTAGGAAGAAAAGTAAAATTCTTACTGTGAATAATTCATGCTTTCTGTATTGCCAAGAAAACAGAAAAGAATAGTTTTTCTCAAAACTACAGCATGATTACAGAATAAAATAGGGAACCTTTTTCTTCTCTAAGCTATATTTCTGACCTTCATATCAATGATGAGTTGCTCCTGTTGCCGTCTTGTGGACACCACATGCTGTGCAGGATTCCTAAATTGTGTGTAGCTTCTCTTTAAAATCCTATCACAGAAGACATCAAATGTCACTTGAAGTCTTCAGAAAAGTAGATTGAAACATCTATTTTTTTCTTATTCCAAAATTGCTATTGTCATATGAAAAACATTGAGAAGAGTGAGTCTTGAGTCTTGAGAAGAGTGATTATTTGCATCAAGTCATTACAGCCATTACAAAATGAATTTAAAACACTGGCTTGGCTTACATTTGTTAACTAAGCTCAAATGAAATTCAATCTACCCTTCAGGTTAGGGAAAGCTTCCAGGTGGAATTGGTTTAGCATAGTATTTATCTGTTCAGGGATCTGTGCTGGGGTGTGCAGCCACAGAGTCTTGTCTCCAGCTGATGTCAGAGTCTTGTCACCAGCCAGGTGTCATAATTACTTTTTCCTGATCCAAGGAGAAATTACCTGTTACTTCTTTATGTAACCTTTGATCAGCATCAAATGCAGCTTAACTTAGTTCAGGAGTGCTACCTAAAACCTCATCTAATAATAGTGGTTTTGCTGTGGACTGTGTCCTGATGTCATGTAACATTATTTGGAGAAACAGAAGTATCCTAGTATTCTAAAAATCAAAACTTAAATTGACTGAATGAATGTGTTACAGTTCAGTGTGTTGACTTAATACACAGCATTTTAGAACTGCTGTTAGCTCTGCAGCAGCTAACAAAATTTTTGTTTTAGATGTTCCCATAGGAAAAATTGGTACTTTTGATGTTTAAAAGATGCTAATACAACTGTGTGCAAATTCAATGCCAGTGCTGTTTTAGCTCATGAAGAATTTTCATTATGTGTCTGAAGTTGCCTGGCTAATAACTGCTGAATGTTTTGTGTATACAGAGTTAGAGCTTTGCTTAACTTGTTTTGGCAAAAACAAGATTTGCAGTATCTGAAATGATTAAATTATTATAGTTTGATAAATTACTATGGTAGCTAACTGCAGTAGACCCAAATTTGTTCTCAATTTAAAATAATGTGAATCCATATATATATAGAGAAAAGCTGGCTGCGTTAATCCACTGTCATAATATAGTGCCTGCATAATGAATATGCTCATCCTTTAATGTGCATGAATTTTTACAGCCTGGAAGCTATTGACTTATCCTGGAAAGCTGAGTTACTTCCAACTACCAAGGTAAGTATTATACACAATTTGTAAGTGGGAGAGGTGCTTTGTGGGGGAGTTGCATGTCATGGGAGAGGGATCTAGTCTGTTTACAGTATTGGAACATGCAGTTGTATTCCAGAGGAAGGGGGACAAGAGGTGGATGTCTGGGAACTGGCTAGGGGGAGGCTAAGGGGTATATTCAGTAATGGCTTTGTCTCTTTCTCTTTGTCTCTTTCTTTTTCAGGTTGTAATACTGAAACTTCAGGACTACCCTTCTTTGTCGCACATTGTCATTCAGGCACCACCCACAGTTTACAATAAGGTAAAAAAAAAAAAAAAGAAAA